CCGCCGTTCCGCCGAATCCATTATTGTAGCGTAATACGCACCGAATATAAGTAAAATCGCTTAGTCTAAAGAGGTAGTGTCATATGGCAGTGGCAGTCCTCGAGATCTGATATGTGTGTCACAAGATTGCGTCGACTTCGCAATTAAGTCTCTGACACTATTTTAGAGATGGTATTGTGTCCAACACGGAAGGCATACGACAATGATCGCATACTATCTCCTAATGCCAAGTATCTGAGGGTTATATGCAATCTTGTTTCAGGTGAAATAGCTTCTCAAACTACAGATTGTTTAGTAATCGATGGTCTGATCAATTGTAATAATTTTTCGAAAAGTGCCGGTTCCATTCGGAAATAATTAACAAATTTTTCACGATCTTGTTGCTCCAGTTCATTAACGAGATTATTGCTTGCTCCTTGTGCTAACCGTCGTTCAATAGTAAATATTGGACTGACCCGATATTTTCGTTTTCTTCTATTAATAGTTTTTTTCTCACTTTTTCTTAATATAGAATAAAGCTCATATGTTTTAATAATTTTATGATATATTTCCTGCTTGATGAAAGCATTATGGTTATGGTCTAGACGTTTTGTTAATAATAATAGTAAAAACAATATTGTTTTTGATTTCATTCTACACTTGTTAAACCATTGCGAATTTTTTAATTTAATAAATAATAATAAGGCTCTGTAAGTATAAAACAAAATAGAATAATTGAAGAGCTAAGAGCCAGTTATGTAATAAAGAACATTTAAAAAAGATAATTAAAATAATCATGATTATAACGCTTCATTTCAACGGCATATATAAAAAAAAATAAATAATAAAAGACTCTGTAAGTATAAAACAAAATAAAATGTTATAATCATGATTATTTTAATTATCTTTATGTTTTAAATTAAACGTTCTTTATTACATAACTGACTCTTAGCCCTTCAATTGTTATATTTTTTAAAAAATTTAATAATATTAAACAAATTAATATTTAATAAAATTTACTTACACAATATGGTTATACTTTTTGCGGCTATCCTCTTTCTTCTGCGGTCTCTCAGTAATTCGCCCGCAAAAGTCAGTTTTGTTCCGCTGTTTTCGATACGCGATAATTTCGTTCCTATGGTCCCATGAAGCGGAATTAACGTAAACGGATCGGCGGTTTACCAATCATACAACTGTTTAGATGAAGGCAAATAAAGAAAAGTAACGAAACTCGTTTTATGATTGACTATCCGCCTGATCCGTTTACGCGAATTCCGCTCCATGGGACCATAGGAACGAAACTTTTGCGCATCAAAAACAGCGGAACGTCCGCGATTGATCAGATTCCGATACGCGCGATCCGCGATACGCGTGATACGCTCCATGGGACTGCACCCTAAGGGGATGCTGGAGTGACGGTCGAAGTTAAACAAGGTCGATAGTACAGACTTTTTTCAATTCCAAATTCGACAATAGTGACATCTTTCATTCATTTCTTAAGGGCATTCTACAATGCGTTGCGAACACCCGTTGCCAGTTAAAACGTTTGTCCCGACAATCAATTAGAAGCGTTAATGGTATTATTTATGCTTCCGATTGGTTATCGTGACAAACATTTCAACTGGCAACGGTTGTTGGCAACGCATTGTAGAATGCCCTTTATACTTATTATATATCGTTGTGTCTC